TGTTCATCCGGTAAATAGTTTTTGTGAACTGTTTTTTTGGATTCGCAGACTTCCAGGACTCGCCTTCGGCTTGGGCTAGAATTTTGTCTACTCGTCCAAAAAAACAGTATTTTCTGGATTTGTTACGTAAATTACCATCATTCAGGAACCAACCGAACATTTCCTATTTACGGAACGAGGAACTACTAACCGAAAAAAGCAAATTGATTACGGAACATCCCCTCAATTTCGTTCCTGCCAATACATAAACGAATATTGACAGCTGACATGATCTTCAACTTCACAAGTGCAATCTGCAACTGGCTTCGAGCTTTCCATCAGATCACCTATATCATACAGAACACAGTCAACTTCCGGATATCAGTATCTTCCAAATGTTTGGAGTTGCTCATTGTGTTATAAGGAAACTTCAATGATGGTCATGAGATTTACAAAACAATAATGATTTATTTCAACATTTCACTTCGACATTTGTACAATCAGAAATATGTATAATTTATAAATATGCATAGTAATACTCTTCTAAATTGAATATAAGAAAAATGTATAAAGCTCATCTGAAAAAATAGAAACCTTAATATTACATCACACAATAATTTACATCCATATTAGTGCCATATTTTAAGTACTTAGAGTACCATATGCACATAGATTCATTGGAAAATGTTTTATACAGCGAACAAAAGAATGGGTTCAGTCATTTACTCAGTTATGTTCAAGATGGAAGATCGAATATATAAAAATTCAGTCAAATATTATTTGGCACCAATATGAATTTGTCAAGTGGAGTAAACATTCTTTCATTTTCCACTCCGATATTCGACATCATCAAGACATCTATAAAAGCTATTTTTATATCGATTTATGAAAGTATATCATATCCAGAGTAACGAAGTTATTCGTAAAATCGCGCAACTGAGGCTGAAGCCGGTCAGGTATTCACGTGGTAGAAGCGAAATATCACCGAAAAAGGATTTATTGCATCAACAAACTATTTCTACACAAGTTTGTATTTGTTTCGTTCGAACATTTTATTTTGTTTGATCAACCTATTGTTTTAATTAATGATATATTTTAATAACTAGTTGAAAGTATAATTCGTTTTACGAAATATATCGTTGTGAAAAATACAAATTATGTTGATCCAAGAATGGTGACGATGTTGAATCAATACTGTACATTTTGTTCATTCGATGAATAAGTTATGATGAGAATTCCATTCCATTCCAATGTAAAAAAGAACTATATACACAATATCAATGAGATACTTTGTTGTTTCAACTCCAGTTGCATATTTGACACTTTATGACCATGATAATTAATATACAGGGTTTCCCAAGATTACATAGAGAGATCAACTGCAGATTCAAGGAACGAAAATAGCAAAGAAAGTTCATATAAACCAGGGTTCAGAAATGGACCCTTATGACCAAATTATGTACATGAACCTAACTCTCTATGCCCAATTGAATAATATCGATGATACTTTTGAAAATTTGTTCAGGGGCGTGGGAAAAAGTAGGGGCGAAGGGCAGTTTTCCCCTAACTTTGTTGTTTGTCAAATCGTAATAATGTGTGTCTGTTGAATCAACGAAATATGTCATAGAATCAATAACTCGTCATTTGGAATGAAACAAAATGACTATTTGAGCCAAGGCAATTCATATGTATATGTTTGATTGAATGAGATCCAGCCAGAGTTCATGATGAAAATATTTTACTTGATCCAAACTTCAAAAAGTGCGCTCTGATGGAATACGATTTTTTTTTATTCAATATTTTTTTTGCAATTGCATTACCTCGTTGGTCCGAGCACTGGGACCAAACGCCCCATAAGTCGAAACTTGTGCGGGGTTAGGTAAGCAGACAAACACAAACATCCATGGTCTAACTAGGATTCGAACCTATGTCTCGGTGGGAGTCCCCATACGAACTCAGCGCATTCACGCTCTCGATCGATAGATTATATTCTATCATGCACATTTGGTGATATTATTCGCCCAAGAAGAAATTTACTTTGACTCATTGTTTTATCTTTCATGCACTCAGAAATTATAAGAACAAAAATTTAGGCCGTGTTTGGATGTACCAAAAACATACTCAGTCCTCGAAAATGCAAACAGTATGATTCAATTCCTAGACAGATCTTGCTAGTTCGGGGAGATAGTTTTATAGTCGCAAGCTTCAAAGGCATAAAACATAATTGACAGTTCACTTCAAAATGCACAAAACAAGATACGTTGTTGAAGATTCTAATTATTTTTTCACTGTCATATATAGCAGCAGACTTTTAGTTTTTTTAACATTTGAAATCATCGGTGTATTAGTTGACAACACACATCAAATATTGTAATATTGAAATGATCATACTGATTTGGCTATGTTATACTTCTCAATACATGAGCAGACCCTGATTATCAATTGTCGAAAACAAGGACAAAAAAGATTCATCGACAGATCAACAGAATATTGTGTGTATCAGATCAAGAGGGTCATGGAGAATGATTTCACTAAAAATGATTATTTTCAAAATATCTCTTGGTTTTGAAGATTTTTGATAAAATGAATTTGAGAGCTCCTTCATAATAACCACTGATGTTTTTACATTATTTGTGTTGAGTAATCGACCACAATGGTCATGTTCATAAACTACTTCAGCAAATGATACATGTATTGACCATCTACTTCCCTTTTGTTTTTTTTATGAAAACTTCATCAAAATCTAGTGAGATTTACAAATATGGAAAATAAAAGAGGAATTAGCAGTTTTTTATGAATCATGTTGTGAGATATATCTCAATTATGACTTCATTGATGCGGTAGTCGAATTATCATCGAAGGTCATTCATGAATGATTTTGAATGAAATTTTCAGGGCGAAGAAAAGCAGGCATGTTAAATTCAAAATCAGTGCGCTTATTATAATTTTTCTAAAAAATTTAGATACACACAGGCTATTTCTTTTGGAAAGAAATCATGATTCATGTAGCTCCGCGTTCAAGAAACATCCTACAGAGATCCGAATAGTAATTATGGTTTGTAGACTATTTTGTTGATTCGATTAGTCTTCTTCCTCTGTGAATATTGCGGAATGCATATTTCACGTCATATGAAATCGATAGAATATTATTGCTGTTCGTCTTCCAAAGTAACACAGGAGGGCAAAATAACAGTTCACTGATTTTCATACTGATACATCGACGATTATTCATTCATTCAATATAACCTCGCATCATGTTCGTAGGTATACAGATAGAAAACAGACTTCTACCACAGTTGAAAAAATCAATGTATTAGTTACCTTAGTCTCGTGAGTTTGATATTTCCAGATCAAAATCGTGCCGCTGACAGCTGCACTAATTTTATTTACGGCGTCTTTACTGGGGAAGTCAAACTCAATGAGACTTCATGATGTCATATATACAAATTGCACCATAGACAGTGTCAAAGTACCTCAAATATATTCACTTCCCATTTCAATGAAGAAATGTATCACAAACAATTGGAATTTATTTCGAGATACCGTTGTACACTGCGGTAACAAATGATGCGATGCAATTTCGGCTACCCGATACGACGAACGGAGATCAGTATAATAAGTATGAGTTGCGTGCAAGAACTGTCAGATGACCGACTCTAAAGGTGAAACATTCAAAACACAACCTCACTTTTCTATTTGTTTACAAATAGTTGAAATAATATTTCAAAATTATTTTGGCATTCGAATCGTCTTTTTCGGCTATTCATTGATTCGCGCATGCCATCACATTGTATCGTTGTACAATGCACAAAAAATGCAGTGAGGGACGAAGGAATCCGGCTGTTACATTATGATTCAGAAGTAATCACCTACTATAGTCAATCACATATAGTTTCCATTTTGAAATTTGGTAATTTCTCTGATTTCTCATCTGAATTCCTTCTGCAAGAGGAGCTGTTTGAAATTTCTTAAAGAATGCAAGAAGATTAGATTCATGCAATCTAACGTGTGTATTGTAGACATTTTCAATCTATTAGCAGTATTAGTTTTTATTGCAGAAGTGGCAGAAGTGAATTTAATAATGAATGACAGAATTTCATAATGAAAACTATATGAGATCATTATTTACCTGAAAAATCATATTCCTTCGTCTCTCGCTGCATTTTCTGTGTATTGTACAACAGCACAATGAGAAGGCATGCTTGAATTAATGAATAGCACAAAAAACACGATTCGTATGCCAGAATATTGTGGAAACTATTTCAATCCTTTGATTCCTCTGCGCAAAAACTAAAAAAAGTGAGGTTATGTTTCAATGTTTCTCCTCCAGGGTCGGTCATCGTACACGCGACCTATACTGTTAGCAGTCTGTCTGAGCAGACGTGGCAGGCAAAATAAAAATGATGTTTTGAACTTTTGAGAGAGTGCGGCAACTGATATATTAATAATTCTTTCAACTGTGCCTCAGCGTCGCAATGACTCAGTTCGAACTTTTATTTCTTCCAATTTGTAATATGGCACTTTTCAAAACTGACGGAAGTTTTGAAACGTTATAATTTAGAAACCAGTTGCGTAAAGTGGGATATTTCATGACTAATTATGTGTCATCCAAATCCTGTTGTCAAACGCCATATTCAAACTGGCAAGCAAAATATTGTATACCCACAAAATGCTCTATAAAATTATTGATCTGATCAATTTGGATTTTTTTTTTGCCAAAAATTGTAATGAATTATACATTACAAGTTGAGTAGTATTCATACATTGCAATTCTGATTCCTCTCAATTGATTCTAACAAATTCATGGGATGAATATAAAAATAAGGGAGGCCTTCTGCCGGGAATCTCAGGAATGTCATACATAAGTGGTTTGACCTTTCGAATTGAAAGAATTATTGTTTGATACAAACACACGTCAAATGACTGAACCTGAATCGAACTCTTCAATATGCTCTCTATTAAACCCTTCAACGCCACACTATCAACATTGTCCTCGGCATAATTCACCTGATCAGTGTTCTTCAAGTTCCATTAGTGATCCCATGCTCTTTTTTTATCTCGTCGATAGTCGCGATGGAAATCTTCTTCTCCCCGCCTGCATCCAACGGAAATTTGAAACTAAGCTCTCCGTCGCAGAATAAAGGACTGTGATTTCTGTCGAAAATCGATTCACCTTCAATCGCCAACTTGTCCTCGTGAGTATAATATTTGGCAGCGTGACGCCGAGAGTAGCAAAGCGCCCCAATTATCGCGAAAACAGTGAGAACGAGAAGAAACACCGAGGCCCCCGCTGCTATGATGCCTACTTTACCGTCTTCTCCAATCAGAAAGAAATTAGCATCACTCACTGTGTAGCTTGGAGAAGAACACCACGTCAGTTCATGTCTGCAGATCATCTCCAGCTTCTTTCCTTTCACTATATACGGAGCTGAACACACTATTTCGCGGAAGACGATGCTCCGATTAACTCGCTCCAACAGCGGAATGATGTAACACAAATCACAGGACCACAAGTTATCATCTAACTTCAGAGTCGGAACGTTCTCGATAGCTACCAGAAGTTCTTCATCCAGTCCACGGAATCTGTTCCTGGATAAATCGAGTTCAGCTAAATGCTGGGGTAGAAACTCCTTGGACAAAGACGACAAATGATTTCCGCTGAGGTCCAGAATACTCAAACTTTGCGGGAATATATCGGATTCTACGCTAACCAACCCGCATTCTCCCAGCCTCAACTCTTTTAACTGATCCAAACTCGACAGAATTCTCGTAGCTCTGAGCTTCAGGTGATTTCCACTCAGGTGAAGCACTTCCAAGGTTTCTGCAACCGGCTTCAGGAAATCCAGCTGATCAATCTTGTTGTAGCTCAGATCTAGATCCGTGAGATTCTGCAAGTTTTTGAATGCTCCGTCCGAGATTTTCGTGAAATGGTTTCGTGCTAGGTTGAGTTTCTTCAACATTGACTGGTGATCGAACGTAGAATCTAATATAGCACTGATTAAGTTACCATCGAGTTTGAAATATTTGAGATTAGATAGTTCTTTTAGTTCTTCGGACGGTAGCATTCTAATTTCGTTATCTCCTAGGTCCAGGTGAGATAATTGGGGTAACAAGTGATATATTTCATTGTTTAGTCGGGTCAAGGCACATCCACGGCATTCTAGGAATTTCAGTTCCTGAAACAAAAATTAGAAGGTCATTGACTTTGAAATTTCCAGGCACCTTAAATTGAAAACATAGTAGCTTTTCCAACTGAAGTAATTGTGACAATGACATAGTCACAAAACTAAGAGATTAAGAGAGTAATCGTATGCTCTAGAGTCTAGAGTAACAGAATGACATTTGAGCACTTCTCATCGATACATCAATACACAATTCATTAGGAGATACAATCAATAACTCATATTTGATGATAAGTTGAATTGTCGATAAACATGATTTATCAATTTCTCATAGACCTCCCCACTTACTATTCATAATCAATTAATTCACCCTGATAAATATAGAAGGGCAGCATATAATAAGTATGTGAATGTCCCTCTCTCAGAGGAGAAATTAAATGAACAACCCAATATCACAAAACAGATCGCAGTCAACAACGGATACCTATAACTTCTGTCTAATAAACAATATTATTTCAAAATACTTTATTAAACACGTTGGGAAGATGAATCAGAATAACAAAGACAAAACTCATAAATTCAGAAAATCAGGAGTACACATGAGTTTTCCAAGACAAAAATCAAATTCAACATACGCTTACCACATTTCAAAAGGAAATTATAGTTTAGATGACAACTTCATGTATTCAGAATATTCTAGCATTTGTCTTAACTAGACTACAACAATTAACCGCTTCTGAATTAAGTCCTCTCCGTAGATGAAATCATCATTATTTTCGAGTTAATCCGGCACATCGAAATTCCATTTATTATTATTTATATGAAGATGTTCTCAATATTTCAGGAAATGGAGGAATATTCAGCTTGCTCGTAGGTATTTCTTATCCTTCAGGTTCGTATAAGTATATGAGGCCAGCAAATCAATGTTAGCTCGAAAGGCTCAATTCATTGTACGAACGGTTCTTGTTTGTGAAGTTTTTTACAGATCCATACAGATATATTTATATTCGAATGAATAATTTCTGGCTGAGGCTTTCACAGTGGATACATGACCATATTATTGAATGGAATTTGAGGTGGATTTCATTTGATGAGAGAAAATTTGAGAAGTTCACAAAGTTATAAAATCTTCGAACTCTGAAAATGTTGATTTAAAATTATGGCCCAGCATCGCATCAGCTAATTATTGACTTGTCCCTTGATGATCCAATTACCAATAATGCCTCGTTTCATGTTCATTAGCGATTGATGTGAACTCTCTGGAAAGCAACTTCTAAAGTATAAAGATATTTATTCAGGTTTCAGTTGCAACTTCTTCATCTTGTACAAATATAACTCAATCTCGATCATGTTTTTCGATTCCATTTTATTAAAGAAATGGGATGCACAACTCCCATCCAATTTCTCAGGCAGAATGCAACGTTTTATATACTCATCCTAGATATCCAACATTTGTAGTTTCTCCCTAATCTCTGCTTTCGAAAATGACTGAAATACAGAAGTGTCACACAGTAGATAGAACAAGCAGTATTCACAAGTAAAATCTGAACATGAAAATGGTGGATTCAAGATCAATTTATGAAAACATTCTGTAACCCAGTTGTTCGCCCACAAATGTCAATGACAAGTGTCAACATTGAAATACGAAAACAATTCGCGAGTATATTTTCCATTTTTTTTTTTTTGAAAACGGGAGCAGTAGAATTTTGATCTCTTCTCGATATATCTATCTTTCTCTTCTTCAACCATTTTCCAGAACGAATTAATATCACTGACAATCGAATGAATTCTTTCTTTTAGGCTCTCTGATAGAAACATGTTCAAACGCATTTTCAAATTCATTTTGGAGTAAATCATCTGATTTACCTTCACCACAGGTATATTGAAATAATGAAGTACTCATAGTTTTATTTTATAGGAACTTACTGAAAAATCACAAGAAATCTGGAAGAATGAATTGGAATATGTTTCGACTGAGGTATCACTTGATCCTCCTTTCAAAAATATAATATCTTCTATTGGAATCTAATGTCGCATATTTGAACTACCACTGGAGCAAAAGAAGTGAGAAATAAACGAAACGCGGCCGTTCGAGAGTTCTATAGAGGAATGAACTTTTATCAAAAACGGATCTGATAAATTCCTGCAATCTGATTCGTTTCATGAGAAATAGTTACTGAAAGGTTAGTTACCTGTACATCTCTGAAAACTTCCGGGTTCAGCTCCCTTAGATTATTTCCGCTGAGCTTCAACACTCTCAGCTTACTGATCTCCAAGAAAATCCTTGGCGTCAACTCCTCAATCCTATTCCTCTGCACCGACAGCACTTTCAGCTCATGCAGATGCCGAAAAGTCCCGCTGGGCAACGAGATGATCCGATTATCATCCAAGTAGAGCTCCTTGAGCTTCGACAGCCCCCTGAAGTTGTGGTCCAGCGGCTGAGTGATGTTATTCTGGCTCAGGTTCAACACGTCAAGCTTTGTCAAGCCGTAGAAGAAGTGCATGCCGAGCTGGGGCACGTTGGACTTGGTGATGTGGATCTCCTCCAGCTTCCGGTAGCTCTGGAACACCGGGCTCATTGTTAGAGCGTTCGTGTTGTCATCCGGAGCCGTGATTTTGATCACCTCCGTGTCGAGGCTGACGTTGTTGAGGTTGAGGGGACCGACCATACCCCCTTCTTTGCAGGAGACGGATATTCTGCCTTTCTGGTCCAGATAGCATGTGCATTTCGTCGGGCATAGTGCCCAGGCGTGGAGCGAGGAGATGAGGAATATCAGAAGTCTGGCATGCATTCTGGAACAAGGAGAAAACACATATATTAGCGACGAAGGAAACGCGAGGAGATTTATGGAGAATTTAATTATGAAGTGAGCGGGGATATATCATTCATGGCGCGGTGCAATTGAATTCGTGATGTATTGACTAGGGATTGTTTGTGTATATAATGCGTCGCTCCACTTTCGAAGTTTTGACAAGGGCGGACCCAGGAAGGGGAGGCATGGGTATCATAATAGTTTGTGTTTTTATGGTTTCGTTCATTTCTATTTTGATTTTCTATGTTAACCATCAACGGTTCGATGTCATTTTCATTCACCTAAATATAGGTTTTCTAATTACGAAACCTATGTATATTTGAATCTGAATTTTTTACTATATCTGTAAACGCTCGACCTTCAAATGCTCGATAATTGCTTTACCTGAAGAAGTTCTTGCGAACGCCTCTGTCTGTGATTCAGCTCCAAAACACTTACACCATCTCCGAAGAGTATTACTTAGATTTTGTTAGTTCAGTTAACTCCGCTATTTTTTCAGTCAGGTGGAGTATTTCTAAAGTTAGTTGACGCACCTTGAGCAAGGAATGTCCGACGATGAATTAATGATGAATCAATGTTAATCATATAATAATTTACTGTTAAAAGTTGATGATGAAGTAATGTTAGGTGGATGTTGAGTCAATGTTAAGTTAATATAAAGTTTATGTTAGGTAAATGTCAAGTTAATGACCATTTCAAAGTAAAGATGTTGATATTAGGTTAATGTTGAGTAGCTAATGATTTGATGTCAATTTTAAAATTGAATTGAAACATGATAATGATATCATCTTCATGTGATCGAATATGGTAAGAAACATGTTGCCTACTCAAGTCTTATAAATACTTATATTATTATAATTATTATATGACGCATATAATTCGAATATTTGCATCAGGCGCAAATAGCTACTAGATCAAAGGAGCGCAGTCAGTTTATCAGCGATAAAGAAGGTGCAAATGGCGTTCACCGTGTAGGAGTTGATTTATCGTTGGTAACTGACACTTGTTGAATTCACGAAATTTTCGAGTAAATTTTTGTTGGTTTGATTCTTTTTCTCCATGTGATGAGAGCTATAATACATGTCAGGAATAATCGAGATTCAAAATAGATTATATCAAAAGTGAATCACGTTGTATACTGGTGGAACAAAATGACACTTCATATGCACGTCAGAAAATCTACTTTCATGAGTGCTGTTTGTGGAAAAATTGATCTTGCTACAACCTGTTCCACTGATAATTTCCTTCATTAGTAGTGATTTCATCGTACTTATACTTCAGATAATTAAATTCTCAACAATCCTTGTAGAACTACTCCAATTTCACAGTCCAAATCTGTACAACTTCATTCCATTAAAACTCCACGTATAATTTTCACGTTGTGAACACAACACATCCCATAAGATCTTGAAGCTTACAAGAGCTTCCTACAGCTAACTTAAGCCCTACTTTTCCTAACAACTTAATCCCTTGATATCAATCATCTGGTATACGGCAATGAGGTGAAAGAGGAACGCAGAGGGAGGTGGTTATTAGCTTGTCAGTGCATAAAAGATATGACAATTTGCGAGCTTGGCACCATATTGTCTTCGTTGCGAACGAAGTTACAACAAGCGTCAGAGTATACTTCACACTTTAAGAATCTCGACGGACGATAACGTGACTTTATTTGCACTCATGTCTCACAGACACAATACGAGAACAAATTTGAATATAAAGAATAGCATAATTGAATTGAGTAGGTATCAAGAACATCAAGGACAACACAAGTACTGATTGGAGACAGAGTTTGATTATCTAATTCTCAGGTTTCAGATCTAGTTCTTTACACTTGAAATGATATAAATGCCTGAAGCTGAGGCTAGAGCTCAACCTGTCGAGTAATGAAGACGAGATACATGATGAATAGAATACATGAACGAAGTTTTCCTTCATCATTATGATGTTGCAATGAGGATCACCATTATATCTATGAAAACATGATGCATAATTGTGTAACTTCCCAACTTTGTTTCTAAGTTCAGATATCTTGGAGGGTAGAGGAATTGCTCGACTGCGTATAACATTTTGTTTCTGAAGGAATGATAATGAGAATCGATAAATAAATTGTATGCTGCCTCTAATAGTGAAATATTTTTAAACGCAGTAACATATAGGGGCGAATATTTTGTAGACGAGATTCATCATGGTGTCCCACAAAGAAGTGTTTGTTCCAGTGAGAAGCTTATCTGGGAGTTTCTCCCTTCACTGTAAATTCCAGCACCAGAACCTTCCTTGGTCTTGGGTGGTCATGGATCCGTCTGTGCACCAGATCTTCTCTCCAGGTTTGCCATTGATTTAGTCGTCTGATCCTTGCATGATCACCTAGAACTTCATGTTGAAGCAGTATATTGGCCAATTTATTTCCTTTTATTATTGTTTTTCTGCGATGCCGATTTCACCAGATCCGTCCATACTAACCTATTTACGGAATCACGATGATTTTCCTCTCGAAAAGCACAATATTAATGTGAATAATACCGTTGTTTTGCTTGCACACTCGAAATCACCTGAATTTCTTGGCCTTTTCACGTTATTCTCTTGATATCTTGAAAAAAAGGAGATTTGTCAACAAACGAATTAGGTTATGTTGAATAGCTTATTTGAAATTGTAAATAAATGACGCCAGCCACCATCCTTCTGAAATTTCATTACAGCTGATGGTCCTCTTCTGCAAATCCTGCAGATCAAACATCCAAATGTTTATGTTGATCAGGGTCAGTTTATAATTCCATCCAAGTATAATCTTCTGCTACAAACTATACTGTGAGTCGTTGATATTATACAACTTACAATCGAAAGTGAGCTTCACTTTACGTATTCATTGTGTAGCTGAATTTACCAACCTGGTCCTCTAATGGAAAATTTGGTATCACCATTTGCTAACAAAATCACTATTATCTAGGAGCAGGAATAGTAAAACGTCAGGTGATGTACAGGGAATTTAGTGAACATATTTCACATAAGTACATCCTTCTCCAATGTAAATGTGAAATTCGAAGAACTCTCAAAATGTAATATACAATGAAAAATAAAGATTAATTTAGAAGCGAACAAACGAGCCACCCCTGTGGAGTCTGAGGCACCCGATATTCAAACAACTATATATCCAATATCTGGAATAACCTTATGTATGTATACATACATATATTCAACTCATCGTAAGTCTATTGTTTGTTGTATCAATGTATGTATCTATGGAAAGGTGTGCAGACGTACTGGAGAAATACGGCATGGATCGACAATAATTTAAACAAAACACACGCTGACAGGAAACACATTTATGTTCAGCATACGGAAGTAACGTGAAAGGTTGCCGTATACGGTTAGGGTTACGCTGCGCGCAATGTATATATGTATATTTACTATGCAGGTATCGTATTGGCAAATAATGGTAATAGGCCAGTCATTGGGGATTTTTACCTGGAAAAAAGTCCGGAAGTTTTGAAACTTCGTAGGATCATAGTTTTGGGTGTCCAGAACTGAAATTCACAAAATGCACATTCCGGGACATGCCGCCGGCGCCGCCATCTTGCCAAGATGGCGCTCAAAAACGGTTTTTTGAAAATATTTCCAAAACGGTGCGTTTTTAGGAAAAATATGAAGACATTAAAATTTAAGATGAAGACATTTTCTACAAGAAATGTTCCCACTATATTTTTGCTGAAGTGAGCCGTTTAGGCACAAGAGCTGATTGAATGACATCATATTCTGTTAATTTCAATAAACTGCCCCTGACTATCTCCAAATATGCGTATAAATTTATCTTTTATAATGAAACGGGCTATCTAATTGTTTTCTCGTTATATTTATAGCTTGCTGACAGAGGATATTTCCTATAAAATATGTTCCTAGAATATTCTCGCTGAAGTACCCTCGTTAAGGCACAAGTGCCCTTACCAAATTACAAATGTTGCGTAAGTTTTCTGTAGTGGCGAGTTTCGGAAATAATATGTGTATAAGGGGTCCCCAAATCTGATATTTAACGACTTTAAAAATATTTATCACGAAACGATGGATATCCATTATTCAATTAATCGATGAATTCATCAATTGATCCATGTTAATAATGTATGATCAATCAATTTCGATTTTAAATGCTGTACTTGTTTCCACACCACCCAAGAGGCTAAGTACACGGCGCGTTTTTTAACGTGGTTTCCCCTGTATTCCTAATCCACTCAGGTACTGAAATTATTTTTGGCAAAGGCCAGACGGACCTGGATCGTTGATTTCGATATATTCAACGGGAAAACTGGTTACCTCAGCTCCAGAATCGATGTTAACTTCCTTCAACTCGTCGGATTCTTCTTCTGCAGTCGATAAAGAATCATCATGCAGCGGATGGAGGTCTTCTTCATCGGATTCGTCCATAGTCACTTGGCTGATATTTTCACAAGTTTTCCCGTTGCAGACACCGCAAATCATCGAACATCGCAATCCTGCTTTCCTTCATCCGCAGGCTCTACCACAAGCCGCCTTGCACTTACAAGATAAAAAAGCAAGTAGTGCTTTGGATGCAGGATCTTTCAAAGTAGTTATTGGAGTGAGGCCAGTTTGTGTTTTCTTCCAACCCCATTATTCAACTACTTTCGGACAACCACGCCATAGTTGAACCTGATAGTACGTTCTCAACGAATGCTGTCGTGCAGCTGCGCTTGTCGGTGGTAATGGTAAAAATGCCAAATTGAATTTACTTTTTGTTACCGACTTCACGAAACACTGGTATCGATATTTATCAAGATTGGTGTAATTTGTATCTTTGAATCCATAGAGTGCTCGATAGAGTGCAAGGAAAAATTTCTCACCGGCGAAGGCAACTTGATCAGGGGTGGCATGTTCATTTTTAAAAACTTTAATATGATCTTGTAACTCTTTATGTTTTTCTAATGTTGTTAGAAACTTCATTTTTCCTTGGTTAAATACGGTCTCGCAATTTT